ATTCGTTGAAAAATTTGTTAATATTTCCTGACAGATTTTTGGCATACTTTACTCACATACATTTTGGTATGAAAGAGTAAAAAATGGGGGCATAAAAGAAAGTAAGTGAATGATGGTAATTTAAGTTATGTCAGAGTGCTATAACAACACCAAAATACAAATATATATATGCAGATCATGTTACATCCCTATCCCAGGTAAGGGGAGGGTCGGGCACCCGCAAACATATCTAACCCTCCACATTCTGTACTTGCCTGTCCAAAGTCCGGAACCTCTAATTCAGTGGTTTTCTTTTGTTTACTGTTTATCGTATTTGTTTTACGTTTATTGTTTTGTACAGTTTGTTCTTGTGTTGTGCTTTCGCACCTCTTTGCAAAGTTACATGTTTAACCTCGCCACATTCTGTCCCAAACAAGGAGTCTGTAACTCGGTGGTTGCCGTTTGTTGCTGAATATCATATTTGTTTTTCGTCTTTTGTTTTATAAGTAAGTCTGTTTTCTCGTTTGAATTGTTTTACATTTGTCATATAGTGGCCTTTTATAGCTTGCTATGCGGTATAGGTTTTGCACAATGTCGAAGGCCGTACGATGACCTATAGTTGCTAACTTCTACGTCATTTGGTCTCTGTTGGAGAGTTGTCTCAATATATATCGAATATGATCTAGATTATGGAAAGGGCGAAGTACATGTCTACATTCAATATTTATTGTAATTCAGTTATTTTCAATTATTTGCATTTCCTGACACAAATGCAGGAACGCCGGTTTAACGTAATGTGCACATACTGGGAGGAAATGAAAACCATACTTTAAATAATGGCGTTTATAGCCATGATAAACGAATGACATGCAGTATGCATATTAATTCTTATTGTTCTACTATGGAAAAGGCAAACGACTATTTGCATTATGTAATACGATTTTATTTGATTTTTATAACCTATAAACATAGGCCTACATTATTAAAATGCACTCTGCATTAACACCTAATATAGCTTTCTGATATATGATCCATGCTCCTTTAAAACGCGTATTTGTTTAACGAACAAAGTGCATGAACAATCAAAGAAACACATGTGACTTCATGTTTCCATGTCAGCAATCATTAAAATACTTAAAAGTTAATGTCGTTCAACGAGATTACGGTAGTGCATACCGCCCCCCTTTTTACTTTGACAAATACACAGCTAAATCATGAAATTATTTGCTATCTTACAATAGTTCGAGTACTGTTTAAAAGTGGACAATGGTTGCAGAATTACAAAAAATCAAATATAAAATCAAAATGTGTGATTATCAGAGATATTTACATTTTCTTTCGTATTTTTAATGTAAGTACAAAATTTTGGACTATAACAGTTTCTTTGGAAGGTTTTAAAGTAAAAATCAATTAAAAAATCCGAATCATCTAAAAGAAAGTAACATATTATAAACTGTAAAAGCTTTTTCAACATTACAGATTTTATAGCTGACTATATTAACGGTATGGGTTCTCACATCTCACTGATGAAGGCCGTACGGTGACCTATAGTTGCTTACATCCACATAACTAGGACTCTGGTGGATAGTTGTCTCATTGACAATCATACCACATCTCCTTATTTTTATACAAAGGCAATACATTATGCATATGATGAATGTAGAAAAATTAATTAGAAGCATTACTTTTGTTTCGTACGATATACATTATACATCCGATATTATCGCTTACAGGCATTTGCTCTTTTTATTATATAGTCTGGCAACGAATAGCCGCACTTGCTTAAAAGCACCGAAAGTTAGTAACTATAATGAACTGTAGTGATGAAATATTTGTTTTACAATAATACCTTTTGTATGTAATAACCTATGCTAAAATAATAAACAGAAGATATCAAGGGATCATTCAAAACTCATCAGTCTGAGAAAACTGACACCGCCTTGGCAAAAAATCGAAAAGACAAACAAATTCACAAAACACTATATAGAAACCTAAAGACAGAGCAACAAGTACCACACTAAAAACCGGGGTGAACTCATGTGGTCCGGAAGGGTAATTAGGCAGTTTCTGTTCTACATGTGGCACCCGTCGTGTTACTCGTGCAAGTACAAATCCGGTGATAAGTCTCATTCGTTGATATAACAATCAATGAAAAGTATAAAAAACATAGACTAACTGTCCTGTTAGTACTACCAACCGATGCTTTAAATATCTGTATCAATACAGTATGAAACAACTACAAAAAAAATGTAATCAGGACTCATGCCGGACGTTTTTCTTTCGGTCCTCGTTTTGTCTATCTTTCAATCTATGTATTGGATTGCCACGTGCACTTAAATTAATTTTGCAGGATGTGTAAACGTTCTAATTTACTCAGACGATAGAATTCCGACTAACTTAAAGAGTCATATATTTTTTTCCAAAAAAATCTAGGCCATCTATATAAAGTGCGTAATCGATTAAAAAAAACAGTCCCAAATTCTTGTATTTAAACCTAATTATTTAAAAAAATATATTAAAACACCTGAAAATTCGATACTTTTTTTGCCAGAAAAATTTTCTGAACAAAATCTGCCACCAAATACAATGTACAAAACCCATAAATTAGGCAAAAAAATGTCAAGATATAACTAAAGATAACGACCAACACTGTAATGTTTCAGTTAATTCAATCGGCAGTTTTGAATATAAAACATGTTTTTTGAGAAGATTAAAAGACTTTTTCGCCTATTGCTTCGTGTTTACACCAAATAGTGCGTTTTACTTATATAAATCGTAAATACCGGCATTAATTTCCGGATAGAAGGTGAATCAAATAACACTTTCTTTTCCTAAGAGGAAATATTGATGACCGTTACACTTTGTCATCGTCATCTCGACGTAACTGTAGATCCTAATCATTACTATAGGTTTTATCAGCGATGACTCCGATCCCTCTACTTTTTAGTCTTTGAGGTTGTTATAAGCCTGGCATCTTTGACGACATTGTTTAATCTATCTTTTGATTAATCCACTGGGAATATTGTACATTATATACGTTATATGTATTCGATTTTGCTCAGTAAACCAAACGGGACCATATTAGAAAGACCAAAATCACTAAATTATCAATGCCATAGGAAGTTTGAACTGTAGCTTTTGTAATTACTGAGAAAAATCGAATACATATAACGTACATAGCTATTTACTTAGTAAGAAAAAAGCCTTCTTCACTGTATGGAATATCAGTTCATTATATCAGCAGTCATATCAACCTATTTAATTTTTATAATGGCCAAATATTTATAGTGTGTTGTAGTCAAAAGCATTTCTAGAATAAAAGCCAGAGGTAAGATGTTCAACGCCGAGTAGTTAGTATTCCGGCAACTGATGGATTGTTATCCCTGACAGTATTAAAGGCCCAGAAGCTAGTGTTTCGGCAACTGATGAATTGTTATACCTAACAATGTTAACCACTTCTAGCAATTAGATTTTTGGCACTTGTCACCTTGTTTTTTACATACATTTTGATATATATTAAGTTGATTACTTTAAATTTATACTTTTATAAGAACTAGCGAAATTGAATCTAGAAAAAAAGTTTTGAATGCTGCAAACACAGTATCGTAATAATAGTTCATGCTTCAGTGAATGATAACAACCAATATTCACCTTTACTATAGAAAATATTTTGCCTTTACCAGTTTCAATTTAGTTGTCACAGCTGGAACTATTATACTAATTAGTATAATAGTCCCAGGTCACAGTTAGAATTAAGAATATAAATGTGACCAATATATATATATATATAATAAGTACGTCTGAACCAGTGACAACTCTACGACAGATTTTATCCATCGGATCACCAGTGATGGTGATACAAGGCTGAAAACACATTCTGTATAAATAATTCGCCTAAATAACTGCCCAACAATATTGGATCTGTAAATTTGCGGAAGCAAATTTTTTGTTCTTCCCTGGGCGGGATTTCGCCTTGCTCAAGCCTAGGTGGTCGAGTGGATTTGGTGCCACGATATATCAGTAGTATGAGTTCGAATCCCGGCCAGGGAAGAACAAAAAATTTGCTTCCGCAAATTTACAGATCTAACATTGTTGGGCAGTTATTTAGACGAATTATATATATTTATATATACATATATATATATAATTACTCTAAATATCAACACAACAATGTTAAATCTGCAAATTTGCCAAAGCAAATTTGTGTTCTTCCCTCGCTGGGATTCGAACTCATGCTATTGGGATATCGAGACAACACCGCCTGCACTGTGTCCAGCGCTCTAGACCACACGGCCACCTATATATATATATAGGTCTATTAAGAATTGTTATGCAAAAACCGAAGCACTTACTGAAACTTTAAGAGGATTTTTAAGTATTATAGTGCCTTTCAAAGTAAACGAATTTATCACAGTTACATCACAACCAACTAAACTATGGTCCAAATATTGGAAGCTGATGTTATACCATTTTTATTCCATTATTTCTGAAATCCGATTTGATTGTTTAACCACATTAAGATGCAATACATACCGATTTGAAGGAGAAAATTAATAGTTATGGTGCAATGCGTGAAACGCGGAGAGATTTAACAGATAATAAGTGTTTTATTGAGTAATACCACATTAAGTAGCGATTACTTCCACAATAACTTCTATAATGAATTGGTTATTATCATTAAGCAATTTAACACGAAAACACAGGATGAGCCATACAGCTTGACTTATCTTATTTAGCCACCTGATGAGCGCATTGGTATAATTGCAATTTCCATTAAAAGATAAGGTGAGGAGGAAAATAAGTTTCTATTGTTAAACTGGAATGAAGCATCGTTGGAATATGAAACAAAAATCAATAGTGTCATTGTTTATGTTGACCTTCCCAGTTTTTACGGCAAAATTCTTTAATGATCAGCATACTATTATTATTAATGTGGGATTTCAAGCTGTTGCCCATTGGTGAATGAACAATCATTGATTATACCCGTGGTACATTTCTCCAATTACAACTGAACGTATGGGTATATAAGTAAAATGGCTGTAGTACATTTCGAATCAAAATATTCTAAACATTTCATAAGGAACTAAACTGGATATTTCCTCATTTGACTTTTTCGTTTAACAACTTCATATCTTACAATTCTGACAACAAATAATCCAGATTAAGTTTGTAAATACAGGTAGGAACTTTTAAAATTTATTAGTTATTGTTTTTTGCATTTTATATTTTACATAGCTTAGCTATTATTATTCACGTTTTGTCATAAACTTTAACTATAACAGCCATTCGTGTGATGTTGTTATTTGGAAAAGTCATAAAACTTCATACAAAAATAATAAATAAAAATAATTGGAAATATTTATGAAGATTAAATATCATTTGTTAATAATAACAATATTATCTAGAAAAAAAAGGTGTTTAACTCGCTTTGCTGACCTCACGATTTTTTACTGGTATCAATTCGTGTTTTGGTTGTTGTTTAATTGACATTTAACCAACATCTCCAAACAACATTGTGATTATAATCTGACAGTGGTCGCGGTTCTGTCGATGAAATTAATTCTAGGTCATACAAGCCAAGAAAAACGCGAAAGAAAAATGGCCTTAATGTGGCAACACAGTATAACGAATATAGGAAAGATAAGAAACATCAAAAGCCTTATGGTATTTTAATAATTCATATAATAGTGCTTTCAAATCAATATGTTTTTGGTGGAAAATACTACAAAGTTTAAAAATAAAAAGAAGCTACATTTTGACATTAAAATTGGTAATTTTGTTTCCTTGGTTCTTAAATAGCAACTGACAAACACAAGTTATGTTTTACCAAAGGTTGGTTTCTTTATGACACTTAAATTAATTACTCCATATCTTAAATAAACTCATCATAAATACCAGGATTCAAATTGTGTACGCGTTTCTTCTACAAAAGACTCATCAGTGACGCTCGAGTCAAAAAGGTTAAAAAGTATTGAGGACCCAAAATTCCGAAAGGTTCTGCCAAATACAGCTAAAGCTATCCTCAGGCTTGATGGTTATCCATGCATATGCTATATTAAAATTTTGTCTTTGGCAATTACTAATTTTACTATAACAACTAAGACAAAATCTAAATACAACACATACATACATGTAGCTCTGATATGTACTTAAGCTTGAAGGTATCTGTTTTTATTGAAGATATTGTTACCTTTGGAGGTAATATTTACGATAAAAATTATATATTTAAGTTGAGAAAAGTTTCAGCATAAAATTTTTTAAGTTTACTTTTTATATACAGATAAGATAATAATAATGTATCGCAAAAAAATTGTCGACAAATGAGAAAGTAAGAAAATGCCAATTTTCCGTATTTTGAATTCGAAAATAACAAATCATACATGCAAAACAAGGATAACAACATTCACCAAAAATACCAAAATCATGCAGCTCACATCAACCACCAACACCTTACTCCTCCAAACCAACAACACCAAAGAATAACAATGATCAGCACATAGTGTAAATAGTCTGACATGGTATTAATGGCACACACATGTGGTGGGGTTATATAGCCTACTTTGCAGTGTGGGTTTTGCTCATTGTTGTAGGCAGTACGGTGGCCTATAGTTGTTAACGTCTATATCATTTGGTCTCTGGTGGAGAGTTGTCTCATTGGCATTCCTACCACATATTATATTTTATAGTAGACCAGTTTTACGTTCGCACGAATCTCCTCCTTTGCCAATCTATATAAAGAGATGTGGTATGATTGCCAATGAGACATCTATCTACCAGAGTTCAAATGACGAAGATAACAACAATAATGGTTCACCGTACGGCCTTTAACAATGAGACCCATATCGTAAAACTAAAAAACAAAAACAAAAAAACAAAAGAGTCAATCTGCATTGTGCATCTACTAAAACTTCCACTTGGTTCAATTTGAAAAAAAGAAATAAAAGGCTCATAATTTGGAAATCAAGGTCAAAGTGTGCCCATGTTTACAGAAAGCTTGCTAAAGTAGCTGCAGCTGGTTTGTGGATAATGTTGCTGCTGAAAAAAAGCACAAAAAACAATATTACTTATATAGGGTGATGACCTACAAAGCTGAAAAACACCAACTGCTCTTTTTTGAGAGAAAAGATACTTGCCTCATAATTGTTTTAGCCTCCCCCACCTCAATAACAAATTTTATTTTCAAGTTTAAACGGTCTTTAGAATCGCATCGTAAAAATGAATTCAAAATTAACACAGCAAGTAAAGACTATTAGAAATAATATTTTTTTGTAAATTCTAAGTCAGATGATATTTGAGGTAAAACAGTATAAATGTGAAATGTTCAGAGTTTTGTTGAAATGATTTTCAATAGTTTTTGTTTAGCATGTCTTTATGATATAGGTAATTATAGTGTCCCTGCATTATTAGCTCGGTGCTTGTTTTGTAGGTTTTGTTTATTTTTCTGCATCGTCTTTAAATAAAGGGTTAATTTAAGTAATTGTTTTCTATTTGTTTTTTTTCTTTACTATTTTGTAAGAAGTTATAGATATATTTTGATATTGCTAGTCAATTGTAAAACATCTCACTTTTTTTGTTTTTCCCTTTCGAAAGCGCATATACAGTCTCCCGTCGAGTTGTTACCACCTGTTATATAGGTGAAAAAAATTGTAGACAGACTCGCCTAGTCCCTGTAATCCCACTACAAAATTTTCAACTTTGTGTTACAGTATAGTGGTCTAAGTAGTCGAACTACTGTATCACTAGCCTATCAACACTGGGGTTGTGAGTTCGAATCCCACACGTGGCAGGTGCGCTCGACTCCAATCTTACTTGACTAGGATTGTCAGTTTTCTTACCGAAGGTCGCTGGTTCTCTCCAGGCACCCCGGTTTCCTCCACTAATAAAAACTGGCGTCACGAAATGGCACAATAGTACTCAAAGTGGTCTTAAACACCAATCAACCAATCAATCAATTCACTTTTGAATGAACTTAGATAATTCAATGAGTGAATTAAAATATCTGTATTTTTTAGAACTGTATGTTGATTTTTTTTCTAAAATCAAGTTTATTGCACTATATGCTGTTATAAAAATACCATGTCTACAGCATTTGACATTTATGTTAATTGTTTGGTTGTCGTCTCATCTACTGATACCACACATCTTCTTTTATTCGTACTTAATAATCATAAGTTATGATGATATAACGTATGATATTATGAGATCGTAAACATTATTTTAAAAATTCATTATATCCCACATATCCTTTTATTCATAAATGATGAAACAGCGAGTTCTGAAAAGAATATCATGCGAAATTCCCTGAAAACATCTGCTATATAGTTATTCTCAGAAATTACAATGCGATCATGATGTAGATAAACATCTTACTTAAAACAGCATACGTCCAACCAATACACTGTGACACGGATTTATCAAAATCTGCAAAGCAATCCTTTTTTTACGTAGAATGCTGACATGACGGGCCAACAATTATAATTCGTGAAGTATGATACAATCAGATTAAACGTCCGGTTTTCAAGAGCAATTTGGGCGTGTACATGTATATATATATATAAATATTTACAACTACGATCAGAAAGTACTTTTTTTTATTTAAGACGGACGATAGTATACGTCTATACTAAGGTAAAATAACATTGCATGGCTACTTTTAGCTGGTATTTTGTCATCTTTTTTCTTTATCTGTAATTGATTGGGATTTTTATCATAATAAATGTGCCAATTTCTACAATAAAGAAAAGACAGAAATAAAATAATATGTTGCAAATGTAACTATAAATATCGCATTGTTGAACCAGTGGATTAGGAAGAGCTTGAATGCTTCTATGAGAGACATTGTTTGAAATAACAATTGACTGACAGTCAGATGAAACATTTCTAGATCATTGAGGAAACACTTAGTTCAAAAATACAAAGTGTATTAGTCATTTATTGCATTGTTTCATAGTATTCATATCACGCGTTTTCAATTAATATACGTACCGATGAAAATTGTATTATTTTATTGTGTTTATTTTTTATTCAATCAAGAATATTCATTTACCAATAATCCTTCTATCCATCATTATTAAATATAAACAAATCAACATGCAACTAATTTCGATTTGAATCAATGAGACAACTCGCGATTTCATTATTTTTCATTTGTCGCCTGTCGTAAATGATTTTAACCTTTTTCTTCCGATTCGCTGTAACAAATGAGCATTTTTCAAGCACGATTGTACGAACGTTACTTTGAATCCGATCGAGTTCGATGGTGAAAATAGGCTTATTTTTAGTTGAATAAAACTTACCCTTATAGTCGTGAGAATTACTGAACCATATAATGACAAATATTGTTAGATTGTTGTCGATATGCCTACCAATATTTGTACTACAGGTTTTAAGTTTTACATTGAAGACTTTGGGAACTATAGACAAATCTCATTCTTTAGAATCACTAAATCAATTTGAAACATAGATGGTAGAACTTTTCTTAGTGTAGTACTAACAAAATACTGTTACTTCTATGTGATCCGACCACTAATGAATTCGTTTTAATTTTGCATTGGAGTCCATTTAAAAAAATGAGACGGAAGAAACCCACAACACCATGGCAAGACAAAACCACAAACTAAGCAAAATTAAATCTATCTGGATTAAATGAAATCAAATATCTGATAAAAATGCCTTTTGTGGTACTTACTGGAGGTTGTAACTTATGTGTCTATCGGTTAACCAATATGTTCATCATCGAACACTTCGTATTACACTATAAACCATAGAAATAACAAACAAATAAAATCAAATGCTGAATCAACTCCAACCAAATAGTCTGGTGCCTATTGCACAATAAGTATGACCGACAGTTGGCAATGTGGACATACGATTACATTGGAGGCGCTTGAAAATATTAGCAACATCTTTTTGAGAACCGCTTCATGCAGTAATTAAATTATATATGAAAGAATAAGCAATTATAGCATATAATAAACTCAGTGTCAGTACCAGAACGATTTCTTGTGAGATGTACTTACGCAACAAACTAAATTAAAATATTATAGACATTTGGCTTGTGTTTACCGAATGGTGAAACTTAAATGATGTTCTTCCATCTGATATGGAGGCCAATGTAGACTATGGCTGTATGTATTTTAAAAAAATCTCAAGACTGAATGGTATCTTACTAGTAGAAACTGCTTAATATGGTTACTGTTGATCATAGTTAAATAAATTTTTGACTCACTGTTGACTTCTAGATGTCTTTTGGTTATTCTTGTTGTTTGGTTCTGTTTCATTAACGTTTACACCCCCACCCCCTTCCCCACATCTTCTTTTAATCGTTTCTATAAGCTGTTTTAATTATATTTAGTTTATATGGTTCAAAATTCTTTCAAAGTATGTTTTCAATATTGTACGCGCGGAAAATTTTTATCTGCAAATCTAGCAATCTACACATCAGTGTGTACTTAAAAATTAAAGAGCTTCTTCAAAACAAAAGACATTTCTACCAAATGATCAATACAGGTTCATACGAATTTATATATAATATGACTTTTTAAAGACTCATAAAATGGGGAAAGTGTTTAATGTTACTAATATTTTCGGGTAGTTTAACCCATGGGGCAATTAATTGACTCCTATGTTATTTTGAAAAGTAGTATAATCATAATTCCAATCTGGTTTAACCGATTTGATCTGCACCTTAAAATGCAACCTGAAATTAACAATTTTATACTATACAAGTACTGGAGAACAGATAACCGTATCGATATACGTGAGTATATCGTATCGATATACGTGAAGTAAACCGTATCGATATACGTGAAGTAAAAATATTATACATGATAATATATCGTCTCCTGGTATCCTGCTTCTATTTGTGGTTACATTCAAATGGCAGTTGACTGTACAATTCACTTGGGGATTCTTTTCGCGATCCGAGTTTAAACATGTCGCTTTTTTTTTATTGAAAATCAAATTCAACGATCGAGGAAAGTATAAATCAGCTAAGAAATACAGAAGTACATGTATTGAGATAGCATATTATACACTTAATTAGAGATACGTGCACTTCCTTGTTTCGGTATTAAGACCTATACATAAAAAAAATCCTTTGATGTATAAATTCGCAGCCAAGTCCGATAGGAACGGAGACGTTAAATCCGATCTCTCGTGTTGAAAGAGAAATTGGTTTGGCAAATTGTGAGCATTTACCTTGACGAGAATGGGACAAACATGTCAAACCAAAACCAAACTAAGTGGTGGTAGGTGGTTCATGTCTGTCATAATTGTTTTTCGTAAAATTGTTTTGTTATAAATTAGGCCGTTAGTTTTCTCAATTGAATTATTTTTAATATTTTTCAGTTCGAGGCCTTTTATAGCCGACTATATGGTATGGGTTTTTCTCATTGTTGAAGGCCGTAAGGTTGCCTATAATTGCTTACATTCACTTCATTTGAACTGGGTTGGATAGTTGTCTCATTGGCAATCATACCACATCTTCTTATTTTTTATAACATGTAAAGTAAAGATAGATTTATTCATTATCAAATAAAAATTAGTTTATTACGGTTCCCGTTTAGTTCGATGTCAAATTTAACGAAACACGAAAAAATAAAATTTCCGAAAAGAATTTGAAGAACAGTCTTCAAAAGAAAAGTTTTTTACTAAATAACATTTTGATATTATATAGATATAGGAAGATGTGGTATGAGTGCCATTGAGATAACTCTCCATCCAAGTAACAATTATAAAAGTAAACCATTATAGGTCAAGGTACGGCCTTCAACACGGAGCATTGGCTCACACCGAACAGCAAGCTATAAAAGGCCCCGAAAATTACTAGTGTAAAACCATTCAAACGGGAAAACCAACGGTCTAATCTATATAAAAACGAGAAACGAGAAACACGTATGAACTACATAAACAGACGAAAATGTATATATAGTTTTAACAGCCATGCGACTTTTTTAATGGCTCATTCAAATATTATATTATGGAATAGTTATTATTTCTATTGTTATTTCAATGATAAGAACAAAATCAACATAATATGGTATCGTATTCAATCTTAGTACACAATTTCTTGTAAAATTAAGAAATGTCTTAAGATTAATAAATCAAACTAAAATCCCCGTTCAACCGTACCAATTGTAAATTAAAAACAGCCTGTTGTCTCATTTAGAGATGACCTTTAAAGATTTAACTGTTATTACATATAAATATTATTCAAACATGATGGAAAATTTAGGCGTATTTACGTACTATTTTAGGTTGAATAACTAATAAAATTTGATTGTCACAAAAGAACTTTGGTCTAAATTAATAGCAGCAGTATTTTTTCACTTATTGTATTTTCAGTAAAAAGAATGGGCGTAATTTAGTCAAGTATCCTGTAAAAGAGGACAAATTAAATTAATTTCATTATCAAACATGTTTTCCAATATTCTGTCAATTCTGTTAATTTATATCATTGTTTTATTCTGACAATAGTTGGCTTTTTATTAAAGGCGGTTGACAATATAGAATTTCTGATGGTCAAATTATTTTGTCCAGAACCGGAATTACATTTGACATTAAAAACCCGCTTTACCTAGTAAATTTAACTATTGGCTTTAAAAAAAGACGGAAGGTACCAATGGGAGAATTATAAGTTATAAACCGAAGACGGACAGACTATGTAATGGCAATACGGACAACGACCAAACAATAGTTCACAAAACACCACACAGAAAAGGACGAAACGGTGATGAACTCAGTTGTTTCGTAATAGATTTGCAAGTTTCCTTTTCTTATTGTGATCGTTTCTTCAGCTGGTTATGTAATATTGAATGAATGAATGAAAATTATGTAATATTGTTGAACAATATTGGAATGGAAATTGTATCATTCATAAGAAAATGAGATCATTGATTTGGTTTCTTGTCGATCTTTGTTTCTTTGTAATAAGCAGTTGTTAAATTTTCATCAATTAAGGGTGTATTGAAATTGCCTAACAGAGAAACCATGTACATGTAGCCTTTTTTGGCTCATGCTTATTTTGAAAGTAAATTTTTGTTCTTATTAAAGAAGAAGAATTCAATAGCATATAGATTAGTCATTGTATAATGTAAGGAGTATGGACAACTTGTTCACTTTACGCTTTTGTAAGTCTAGCAATAATTTATTATAAGAGGCACTCTAAATCCCCGGATTGTTTCCACCCTTCCCACCTTGCATGCATTGACTAATTAGTTATTTAGATTATTTACGTCGAAAATACTTTCCCAGGTGTTGATTTAGTTTAGCTACAACGATGTACCAACTAAAACGACGTATTTATCGATATTTTAGTTTTTTTTATTTACAAATTTAGATGACAATGATTATTCGTCGGGTAAAAAACATGTTTTACTACCAAAGTTCAAAAAAAAAGTTTTAAAATTACGATGTCCATTTACATCATGATTTGAAACACGTCGAGAAGATATAGTATATTATTCATATAATTTGCTCTAATAATAAGACATCTGAATTAGACACGTAGCCGCCTTTAATCAGTAATATGACGAAATAAGGTGGAGGCTTGTAACCATCTACCCATTCATACTATTTGTAGAGGTCAATCACATATGTGATAAAAGGGACTTTTAACCTACGATAATCACCGTGAATAAGCACCAATTAACCTCGTGTTTTAAAGATCACAAGGTTGTAACAACTGACCGATGCTTGGTCAAATAAACAGTGGTCGAATAATAGAACAATAAAACTTTGGATTTCAATGCCGTTTACGTTAGGTAGCCTTGAAGAATTTGTCATTGAACTTTTTCAAGGCTGAAATATTTGTAAGGTTGTCCGTGATCTATCGACTTTTAACAATAGAAATAGTCAAACATATTTTTTGTCCAATACATTTTATATCAATCTTTAAAAACTCATTACTTCCAGTGTAAAAGTTCATGACTAAAACTAACCAATAGACAATTAATTTGATGTCTTTATCATAATGAACGTAGCCGAACCTTCTTTTCAAGATTACAGGATGGGGTACTTGATTTTAATATCAGCATGCATTAGTAGTATTATCTTCTCGGGTGAGAGTTTCCGAATGGAAATGGGAGTTCCCTCTTTAATCACGCTAGTATAATTGCGAAGAATACTTGGTAATTATTACATTGAACGATTAGTGTTTGAATGACTCTGTTGATTGTCCTGATAACTGAAATATATTTAAACAGATAACTTGTCAAAGTAAAAGCATACTTAAACCATCTGTTATTGTTGCTTCTGTAACGTATCAATCTTTTTATTACTGAGTTCAGTTTTTGCGCAGATAACCCTGACGAATTTATGACTACGTAACCTTGAGAGGAGTATATAAAATCAACAATTTAATGAAAACTTCGTAATCTCTTTCACAGGTGACCATGATGAAGATAGTATTATTATTAGCTTTAACTGTAGCTGTGTATTCCTTTCCTAAGGAGAGATCATTGCCATCGCTGATCAAATCAATTTCAAAGGTGAGCTATGTCAGTTTAAATGTTGTTAATTGTTTTATTAAAGAAAATTTATAAATATTTAATAAAATTTTCATTAACTAGTAAAATTTGGTTAATATTTTAGTTTATGTTTTCTGTAAATTTTATTATGGTTCCATTTAGTAATTTGTTAAAAATTTGTCTTAATTTATTGCATTCAACAATAATTATTTTTTTTAAATCATTAACATAAATTTAACTTTAAAATTTCAGAGATCTGTTCAACAACATAATTTGCTCAAACGATCTGCGATTGATATTTTTGACAAATTTGATACAAACCATGACGGGTTCTTAACTGGTGAAGAAATGGCCACTTTATTTTATGTGTATGGATTTCCAGCACCTGAAGCTGAGCTATTTGGATTTAATCAAGTTGAGATGTTTGATTTAGATGGTGATCAGGTCTTGAGTAGATGGGGTAAGCTCAATATATTTTATATACCGACTTTATGGCGCATAAGTGATTCTGAAATAACAGTTTCCTCTGGTACTATAGAGAACAAGATGATTTTAACAGTTTGTTCTTATTAAATCAGTTTCTTCTTTAAAATTCAGTTTATTCTTATGATGTGTTGTTACACCACTATCACAGGTAACCCCGCCACATTTTTTATGTGCCTGTCCTAAGTCAGGAGCCTTTAATTAAGTGGTTGTCGTTGGTTCATGTCTGCCATATTTGTTTTTCGTAAATTGTATTGTTATAAATAAGGCCGTCAGTTTTCTCTTTTGATTTGATTCAAATTTTTCATGTTGGAGCCTTTATGGCTGACTCTTTCGTCGTTGAAGGCTGCAAGATAATATGTTGGGGCTTACATCTACGTTATTTTAACTCTAGTGGCTAGTTTTCTCATTGGTAATCATACCAAATCTCCTTACTTTCAAAATAAATTCGGTTGAAAAACATCTACTTATGGTAAAAAAAAATCGTTTAGATATGCCGCAGTTACACTGTGGAACAGTCTTCTGGACCATTTCATGACGGAAAAACAGTTTTTTAAAATTTTAAAACTTGATTCAGTCTTGGAATGATTTGAAATGTCGATGTTCTGCATGTATTTGATTACTAAGTCTTTGCTATTATACTGTCAGCTCTGCAACTTATTTTTGATTACTTTATTATTATATTAATTGCTTTCCATATTTATTTATTTACTCAAATTTTAACTTATATTAATTGCTTTGTTATCTAGCGCGCTTGCCACATGAGTTACTGATGTTTTTTTTTGTCAAACAGTTCCATTTCAATTTTTAAATATATTTATGAATTTATATATAAGATTGCTAGAAATCTGAAATTTAGGTTGTTGCTTGACTTCATTCCGTTGTATGATTTATATGTGCTCGATGCTTTATTTTATTTGTTTTGTTTACGTTTTTATATTCGGTAAAAAGCTCATCAGAATGTTTGTATGTTTTATGCTAAGCAGAATCAAAATAAAGTTTTGTATGTCTAGGTCTATGTTCAAGCTTTTTTTTTATATTTTCATCGCTTATTTCAAAGCCGGGATTTTAAAAAGCCGAAAAATATAGGATGAAAACTGAAAAAGATTCCAAAACGTCTTATATATCCTTAGTCTGTCTGGCATAACAAATACCATATTTTTGAAAATCTGGACCTTTCTTAACTTGGAAACTGAATGCTAACCTTAAATGGCCGACTATATAGACAATTTGAAAATAATTCTTTTGAATGCCTGAAACAAGAGAAAAATTAAGAAAAATATTGTCAGCGAATTGGATGCGTTCTGTTTTCTAGATTACTTGTCATTCATTGTATATTATTATGTAAGAATCGTGCAACAAAGTATTTTCTTAATTAGTTTGCAAAACGAATTCCCTTGTTACGTAAAATTGATTTCTATTGAAATAAAAACTGTTTATTTATTCTGTAATATTCCACTGCTACAACAATAGTCTTAGCAATAATAACCACAATCATACAAACCAGTGTATTGCTAAAAAAAAAACTCATCAAAGATACCTGGATTATAACTTTGTTCGCCAGACGCATGCGCGTTTCGTCTGAAAAAGACTAAACAGTGTTGCTTGAATAAAAAAAAAGATATTGGGCCAAATAAAGTACGAAGTTGAAGAGCATCAAGGGCCAAAAATTCCGCAAGGTTTTGCCAAATACAGCGAATATTATCTATTCCTAGGATAGAAAATGATTATTAGCTAAATTATTATTAATGAAGTAAAATTTAAACATTGTATTCTTAATTTATATTTTTTCATCTGATATACTTGTATTTATGTTTCAGAATTTACAAGAAATGAAGAAGAAACAGTAAAACCGTTTTTCTTCTGATCTAGTCATAGTATTTTTGACGTGAATGCAAGAAGATTAATATGTGCTCTTTAAAACTTTGAATACTGAATAGATGGTATCAGACGTGATAGCATGAATGACAATGACGGAGAATGTTGTCTCCTGTTTTGTTAACATCTCATTATTCTATTTATTTTGTACAGTTTTAAGCAGAATATACATACTTGTTACTGTCGTCTACAGTTTATCGGATCGTTACGAGCATTCACATTTTCCAACTGGTAAGACATGCGCTTTGTATAGTGACGAAAAGACATGATGGCTATTTCAGACTGAAAGAATCTCGCCTTTTTATTTCGCTTTTAGCAATGCGTTTTCATTGCTCGGGAATGAGACATATGTTATTTCTACTTGCTTGGGAATGAGACATATGTTATATTTATGTTCAAGAATGAGACATTTGTTATATTTATGAACAGTTGTGTTCTTGTTGTTACAACAAGAAATTTGCATTCCATCCATTTTCATTTATTGAATAAATATTAAATTTTCTATATATTTGATTGTTTATATTTATTATTTTAAATTAAGAAATATATTTTCCTCATTGAAAGCTCTGATTCCTTGCCCTGCTTTTGCTATGCTTTTGTTCTTCTAGGTTTCTAAGCTCTTCATTTTTAATAAGTTTTTGGATTTTCAAATATTTTCGCCGCGAGCATCGCTGCAGAGACATTTATTGTCGAAATGCACATCTGGTACAGACACCTTGTTACCGTTAATGTTATTTTAATTGTTTCATACAGATTTAAAAAAAAAACAACTGTTGACATAATTCTTGACAAAAAATCACAACGCTAACTTGACAAAACTAGAAGCAAATGAATAACGCTTTTACATTCTTTTTTGTTTCTTATAGTCATAGCGGTGATATCAAACTTAAATCAAAAGTTCACATCTCATTGCATGTGAAAGATGGGAACTATGACCGGTTTGATAGAAATACTTGTTTTTTCCCATACAGGTGCGTCTTGAATATTGATACTGATGAACTGGGGTCTTTTTCTTGATTTATGTTTATTCATAGAAATGAGAAGATGTGGAATGATTGCAAATGAGATAAATCGCCACAAGAGACCAAATGACGTAGAAGTTAACAACTATAAGTCTTCGTACGGCCTTTAACAATGAACCAAACCCATACTGCGTAGTAAGCTATAAAAGGCCCTGAAATGACAAATGTAGAACATTTCAAACGAGAAAACTAACAACCTGATTTATGTACAAAACAAGAAACAAAAAATAAATCTGATATACAGCATCAATAGACAACCACTAAATTACAGGCTCCTGACTTGGGACAGGCACATACAGCATGTGGCGGAGTTAAACATGTTTGCTGGCGCCAAACCTTCCCCCTAACCTGGTACAGTGGTGTAACAGTACAACACAAGAACAAACTATAAAAATCAGTTGAAAAGGCCTTAACTCATCAGATCGATACAAAGCAAAAAAACTCTCAAACTCTTAACGAAAACACCAAAGACACAAAGTACAGATCTGAGAGTACTCGCAGTTACTGAAAGCCAGTTTAAAGCCAATAACAACTAATAAAAAACCATGTATCTCAAACTATTCATTGTTCGTTGGCAACTATTTTACTGATCAAGATACATGTAATTTTTTTCTATTAAATCAGACCTAACATGCAGTTCCTTAATTAAGAATATAATGAGCAGCTGTTGCTATTTCATTTAAGTCTGTTGGTTGTTTCATTCATTGTTATGCTTTTTTGGATTTACATTTCTTGGTACAAAAAGAGAGGCAAATGATACCAAAGGGACATTCAATCTCAAAAGTCGAAAATAATCTGACAACGCCTTGGCAAAAAAAGAAAAAGACCAAAGGACAAATAACAGTACACAAAAGACTACATAGAAAAACTAAAGACTGAGCAACGTGAATCCCACCAAAAATCAAGGGTGACCTCAAGTGCTACGGAAGAGTGAGCAAATCATGTTCCACATGTGGCACCCGTCGTGTTGTTCATGCAAGTGCGTTGTTAAAAACTAATCAGGAAATGCACTTCGAACAAAGCAAATTGTATATGCTCAATATGTCCAGACTTTTGTCGGACTAAACTTGATACCATGTGTGTTTTCAATCGTTGAAGATGTTCATGTGATTCTAATGCTTAGTTTAGGTTTCTTATGGTGTTGGGTTGGTGTTATTTAAGTATATTTCAAATCATGTTTCCATACTGAATCTTTATAAAAGTCTTCAAGGAGTATATATTGCTCACATAACATACGAATTATTTTGACTAATGAGAACAAAATAGTAGCAATAATCGAAGATGTGTCTAAAAAAGAGAACCACCATCTTAGAATAATCTCCTTTTCATTTGGTCCTGCAGTTGTTCCCTCAGAGTATAAGACCAGTGTTAGTCTTTATTTTCAGAGTTTCATTTCTAATAAAAGTGGAGGTCATATTTAATGACAGTAAGTGTTATCTATGGTAACCCTAAAGTTTGGTATCAATAGGTCGTTTAGGGGATTTTAAATCAAATTAAGGTAAAATTGGCTTTTGTCAGCCATACAAACAGCCATTCTAACAATATTATCAACCGCATATGTTTACCAAAAAATAAGAATACTGTATCATTTCTCTAGTGCGTGAAACCTCAGCAAAAATATGTATGGCTCCGTGTTGAATGCCGTAATTTGACCAATAATTGTTAACTTTTTATACATTGTGACTTGGATGGAGAGTTGTCTCATTGGCACTTATACCACATCTTCTCATTTATATTGTTAGTAAATTTAAATAAAATGACCATATTAATGATATTCAATGTCAGCGCAAGGAGTACTGACTTCTTGGCTGGTTTAACTCTAGGAGACGAGACGCCCACCAACAGTGACATAGACTTTGTGGTTGTAAAGACTTATCAATCAAAGATACCAGGCTGATAAAAACAATAAAACTTCTTATGAATATCTTGTTGAGACATAACACCAAATTTATACCAATTATGGAAAACACGACGGGTACCTTATGTGGAGCAAGATATGATTACCCTTCCGTAGCACCTGATATCACATCAGTTTTTTTGTTGGGGTTCGCGTTGCTCAATTTTGGTTTTTCATGTAGTATTTTGTGAACTGTTGTTTTGTCTATTAGTTTGTTTTTTCGTTTGATGTAATAATATAGTCGGTCTCTCTAGACTTATAGTTTTGAAACTACTACTACCTTTGATAACTTTAGCCTCTTTTTTTCGTGGATTATTTGAAATCATTTATGAGTTGAATAATCCAGATCTTATGTAGTTTGTAGTTTTATAACAAGAGGCTACAAGAAACCCGAGTAGTTTTGCTGGTAAAATATGCAGCATTAAGGCCTGAAGTAGCAATGTCGGTTATCTTTCACACTCTAAATATGATTGTGTCAAGGTTTTATCCAGATCCACTCAGAGAAAAGTTAAAAAAAATTTTTTAAAATATAAGAAAAAAAAAACTTAAAGATTTTATGATCACTTTAGCTTTTAACACCTTTTCTCTATCAATTTTTCAAAGTAATAGCGAAAAAACAAAAAAATATAAATAGGTTTAAATTGTAATTAATGGGCGATAATACTATTAATAGTCGATTGGCAATTTTGGCTATGTTGATCTTATCCAGCTGATAATTTTTACTGTTTACAGTTTCTGTAAGTATTACAGACAATATCCTTCATGCTTTTTTGCATTTAAACCATTAAACATGGTTTGACTTTCGTGTTGTATTTTAGCCGCAGTGGCCAAGTTTTTTTTGCAAGGTAGACATACGTAACCCAATTTAACATAAATACATTTAGAATGACTGTGGCTAAGTTTGGTCCACATGGGCGCAGTAGTTTTAGAGTAGTTCTTTTTTTTTTTAGATAAGAGATGACGGACGCTTTGTGATGTCAGGATCTCATATTGACGTCCGGTCCAATATGATTATAGTTATCAAAGGTACCAGGATTATAATTTAATACGCCAGACGCGCGTTTCGTCTACATAAGACTCATCAGTGACGCTCAGATCAAATAGTTATAAAGCCAATATGAGCTTGATGATGGAAGTTTTTAACGACCTTGACTGGCTATACAGCCCTCGCACGGTCGGTATATGAGCGTAAGGGCATACGATACAGTGTTCATCACACGGTGAATTTTTGACGAAAGTTTGCATACAAGCTATTTTTCACCTAGTCAATTCAAATATGTAATAAAAAATATACCTTCTTGTGCTTATTTTAGTTTACTGGACATTTCGGTTTCTTGGACATTTCTAACCAATGGAAAGACATGTTTATTTTTGTTTTGTTTCAAAAGATAAACGTAAACGGAGTTTTGAAAAAACATCTGGAATATCTTCTCTACACAAGTGTGTTTTGAATTTGTGTAACAATTCTTTGAAAATAATTCAATTTTGTCATATTTTCATGATGTTAGTCAAAAAACGGCATTTTTGGCTGTATATTTATCTAATTAAAAAAAAAATTCATCTGTGATTTGTTCATAAAAATTGGCACAAATAATCTTCATACATAATCAAGCCTAATGTTATTTTAAAAAGAGGGGTCCATGAACTCGTTTTCAAGCTAAATCAGTCTGAATGATAAAAAAAAACAGTCGAAAAATGAATTTTTTCTTGATATGTCACAATTTGACGTCGCGAAAAATAACATTTTACGTTAGCGACATCATTACCTCCCCTGTAACCGTATCGTATGCATTTAAAATGCGCATTATCTGTCGAATTCAAGACCCCGATTTGACAAAAACTCTCATATTGTATGTGTAACATACTCAAAATTATATCCAAATGACCAAAACGTCCAAAAGAAACAATAAGCAATGTGTGGACTCGTGGCAATAATACGACATCTAAGTAACAATCGAGATGACCTTTGAAGATATACGGTCGTATGATCTAATGTAAACGTAATTTAACTAAACAGACAAGCACGTGCAATCGTATATAATGACGATTTTTGTAGGTCCGTTTGATTTCATGTCATATGTTTAAAAAAAAAATCATTGTTTACCAGTATAGGTAAAAGTTGTGTGGACCGAATCTGTCAACGAAATGGTTCTTCCTGGTGGCCCCCTTGGTTCAATTTTCAATGTTGATATTCTTTTCATTTTAATAAATGAACATGCTTAACAAATGCATAAACAATAAATACGTAGTCAAATGAGGTTGAATCATTGACTTGCAATACATCAGCGACATTTTTTAGTCTATTTTGACAAAAATGAACCAAATTGACAGCTAATAGTGAAATATGAAGTCCGCTTTTATAAATCTTTGAAACAACAAAAATCGGCTTTTTTTTGTGTAAATCGTAGCAAAATGCCACTTCAACAATATTCAAAAAAATAAAGCAATATCTTATCGAAGTAAAATAATTCAACATTTAAGTCTAATTATTAAACATATTGGAAATAAAAATCACACAAATACCAGGCTTATAATTAAGTACGAAAGACGCGCGTTTCTTTTACATAAGACTCATCTGTGGTGCTTGAA